GCGGGGGTGGTTCGGTCGGCGTTGGCCGGTAACGCCGCGGGGTGAGTGGGAAACCGCTTTTCCAGAGGGGTGGGCAACGTCCAGCCGCCCGCTGGCCGGTCAGCTGGTCGCCGAAATGCACGGCGGGAGGGGGGGATGGGGGGTGCTGGGCGGCCGAGGCAGGGTCGGTGGAAGTTTTCTGAGGCCCTCGCGAGTCGTGATTCAGCTGTGTTGCAGCAGGATTTCCTGGTGTTGTGTGTCATGCGGGAGAGGGGGATTGCAAGGCACGACGTTAGTCTAGAAGCGCGGTGGCTAACGATTCAACCAGGGAGGGAGTTTTGCCTACAATTATGTAATAAAAGGGGGGGCTTAGGGAGTAGGGAGTGCAGAGGCTTACACTGAGAGTCTGAAGGCAACAGATCAGTAAGAACAGTATTACAACAGGAAGTGAAGGACCAGGATCATCAGCTGGTGGTCTTAGATGAAGCAGATAAGACCAAATGCTCGTAATCATTTTTTTATTGTGCATTCTTATCCCCATCTGAGCAGCTACATTTTCATCTTCCATGTTCTCCTCGGATGAGTAAAGATCCTCAATCAAAAGTGAATGAACAGTAGTGGTGATTAGCACATTGTGGTCATAAATGAGCAAAGCTGTAACTCCAGCTGTAGAAGCAACAGGTAGCAAGATGTTCTCGTATCTGTAGTTTGAGAAAACTCGAGGGAAAGTGATTTCTTTTGTCTTCTAGTCATTGCAAAAGATAAACCTACCTCTGACAAAACAAATCATTAATGTAGAAAGCTGGCAGTTGTGTTTTGCTGCTACCATGATCTTTTCAGGGCAGAGAGCTGTAGTAGTAGAAATCAAAAATGTTGCAGTTAAGCCTCTTCAGTTAGTGGTATAATGAAAGGAAATGAGAGCTTTGGGATGTCTCCCTTGAATAACAGGGAGAACTAAAGCAAAAAAAAACCTAAACCTGACAGGATATAGCAATCTCAAACTAATGGAGTTAGTGGCAAACCCTGGAAAGAGGAGGGGAGTGGCCTGGGGGATTGGGAGTGAATGAACCTACAGATACAGGCGGCAATGGTCAAGAGTTTGTGGATAAGGGAGCAAGCAGCCAGGATGACAGTTTGGGCCAAACTGGGGGGAGAGTTCCACTGTTGGCTTAAACTAAGCCTGTGCAGCCAGGGCACTGACTCCTGCTTTGGCTGGGAATTGGGTCTGTTTTTTTTGGGTGGTTTGGTTTTTGGGTTTTTTTAAGTAAAAAAATTGCTGTCATTTCCTCCTGACCTCTTGATTTGCTTTAAGCACAGTGTGGGATTTACTTGTGGTTCTGTGATGATCTTAGGTTATCTCTGCATGGTCATGCAGTTGTACTCTGGGAGTGTTAGAGTTCTAAAGGGTAAGATGAAGGCTCACTGGAAAAGAGGAGGGAGACCAGAAAGAGAAATGTGAGGAAAGGCAACTGGAACTGGATATGGAGCAAGAGATGGGTGTTGAAGTCTAGCTCTTAGTGAAAAAAGAAACACGTGCCAGAAATCTCATATGCCTTCTCTTTTTAACTCTCTGGGTCCTGATGTGGTTTTTATCATTTGGGGTTTTTTCACTGTGCCACTGAACTGGAGTTTATAAATTGTACTAGACAATAGGGTAATCCAAGATTAACTGTCACTGTTACCTTGCTAAAGACTTTTCTCCCCCCCCCACCCTCCTCTTTTCCTCCTCAGACTTACGTAGTTAGGAAGAGTTGACTGCTAAAGAGAAAATGTCCTCTCTAGAAAAAGGTAGGTGGTTCACATGGTATCTAAGCTGACTGGATTGAAAGTACTTTAATTTGAATTCTAAAGACCAGAGTTACACTGTATGCCAGGCTCCCTTCATTTAAACTTACTCCTTTTATGTAGCTATTAGAAAGTAGTTATGGCACTTCATTATTGCAGTGAAAACCAGAGCTGCCTGGATGGAAGTTAATTGTGGTTTTCTAATCCAGCTTCGTATGGAAAAACAAGTTTGTCACTGGTACTGTCATCTGTCTGTGCACTTGTCAGTCAGTCCTCTGGTAATTAGAACCTGTTGGTACTGATTCAGCCAACTTGAAAGCAGGGCAATATCATGGTGCTGCTGCAGCGTTTTTTAAATTAATTACCTGGAGAACACAGCTCAAGTTAGCTGCCTGCAGTGTGAGGAAAAAGCAGCATGTGTTCTTGCCTTCACCCCTTGCCAGGAACCTTTAATAATATTTCATCCAGCTGAAAACTTAGTGAACATAAATAAAATTAATTTCAGTAAATATTATGCATATTGGGCAATTCAGAGTAGAATGCAGCATTACTGGTAATACTGGGGTCTGTTGATTATAAATGAAGCAGAACTGGCTTGTTGGCTTTTCTTGAACCATCACATGGACAACTAAAACACATGGTACATAGTACTTAAAAGTCTGCTACACTCCTTAAGATGTTAGGAGCTATGTAGCTTGTAGCTGCTTTTCATTTAACTCTTGCGTGTAGGATGAGACGGCTCTGATTCTGTCAGCTCCCAAAACCTGGTTTTGCTTTCAGCCTATGAGCTTATTGTCAAGAATTTTCTCTGTACTAGCTCTCTTTCATGTCTGCATTTAATCTGGTATGGCAGCAGGAAGTTAAGATTAATGCAATTCATACCAGTGTTTGTGCCTTGTACTATTAGTATTAATGAGCAATGGGCACTTGAGTAAGGACTTCCCTAACTTGTGCTTTATAATTGCTCCTGCAAAGGACTATTTTACACATGCACTGTGCAACTAAAATCTGTAACTCTGAAGTACAAAAATTAAGTGAAGAGTTACAGTGAGACCATAACAAAGTGAAAGGTGGTAAACTTTCCCTCCTCTGTTTCTAAATTTTAGTTGATGATGCCTTATCACCCATCCGAGGACCTGGAGATGGCATGGAAACAGAGCAACCAGCTGAATCGGTGGAAGTAATCACTGGAGCCAACACTACAAACCATCACATCCACCACAGCCCACATAAAAAAGCAGCTTCTTCCCTGAGTCCCGGAGTTCTGCAGCTGGGGAAAGTACCTGCTGATAAATCAGTGGAGATTGAAGCTATTCGTATATTAGTCCCAAAAGCAGCTATCACCCATGTTGTTCCAACTAGAAATGCTAAGGTAGCTAAATCAGCAGGACATAAAGGAGACACCTTCCATCAGTCAGATGGAGCCACAGATCCCAAGAAAGAACAGATAGAGCTGAAAAATGCAATTGAAAAGCTAAAGAATTCAGAAAAGCGGTTGTTGCAGGATAAAGAAGGTCTCTCTAATCAGCTACGTATCCAGACAGAGGTAAGACATGAAAGGTATTTTCACTCACACAGTTGAGCAGTTTCTGAATATATAATCAGTTTCTGAATGTGACCAAAGAGAACTGCTCTAGCCTTGAAACAAATGGTTTGCCTTTTGAACTTATCAACTAAGATACAGAGTGGAAGGACATTAAGTAATCCAGAGCTGCTTCTCTGACAACAGATGAAAGAATCAAAGGCTTGAAGCTGAGAGAAACACACTAGAGTGTGGCAAAGAAATGAATCTTTCATGAGGAAAGATTCTGCTCCTCAACTCAACTGCAAAGTGAAGAATGTTGTGCTGTAGAAGGGGTGACTATAATTATGTGGATGTCTTGTCTAATCCTTTACCTTGCTGATTCTGGACTTGAATACTACTGAGACTTGCTTTGTTTCTTGTAGCAGGCTTTCATTCTTCCTCTATGGCCTCTTAGAATTTAAACAAGGATTTGTTGAATGTTCATTAGTCTCAAATGTTCATGCTCACTAAAGTGGATTGTGAGGCTTAATATACTCTGCACTGGATGTGTCCCATTCTGGAAAGGCAGTTTATTGTTAGCAGTTTGCAATAACTTGCATTGCATTCTGGAAGCAGGAGGTGTTTCATTCCGTATTGATAATTACAAGACACTCTGATTTAATTCTAGGTGAATCGGGAGCTGAAGAAATTACTTGTTGCTTCTGTTGGGGATGATCTGCAGTATCACTTTGAACGGATGGCTCGTGAGAAAAATCAGCTAATCCTAGAAAATGAAGTCCTGGGCCGCAATATGTCTCAGCTGTCCGAGCAATTGGAGCGCATGTCTATACAGTGTGATGTGTGGCGGAGCAAATTCCTAGCAAGCAGGTACTGCCTCTTACAGAGCTGTTGTGACAGTGTTTTCCTTCAGGCTTTATTACGTACACCCATTGCAGTGCCTGGCAATGTGCTTAAATACACAGAGGGCAGCCGCAACAGCTCTGCTGACACCTACTATGAAATTTGAGTGTACAGAAAAGGTACAAGGAAAGTAAGCTCCTTGTAAATCTGAACATGAGCCAGCAGTGTGCCCAGGTGGACAAGAAAGCCAACGGCATCCTGACTTGTGTCAGCAATAGTGTGACCAGCAGAAGCAGGGAGGTGACAGTCCCCCTGTGCTCTGCACTGGGGAGGCCACACCTGGAGTGTTGTGTCCAGTTTTGGGCACCTCAATATGAGAGAGATCTCGAGGGGCTGGAGCGAGGGCAGAGGAGGGCAACGAGGCTGGGGAAGGGCCTGGGGAATAAATCCTGTGAGGAGCCATTGAAGGAGCTGGGGCTGTTCAGTGTGAGGAGGAGAAGGCTGAGGGGAGACCTCATCACTCTCTACAGCTCCCTGAAAGGACATTGCAGAGAGGCTGGTGCTGGTCTCTTCTCACAGGGGATTAGTGACAGATCAAGAGGGGATGGCTTTAAACTGCAACAGGGAAGGGTCAGACTGGACATGAGGAGAAAATGTTTCCCAGAAAGAGTGGTCAGAGAGTGGAATAGGCTGCCCAGGGAGGGGGTGGAGACCCCATCCCCAGGTGTGTTTAAGGGTTGTTTGGATGAGCTGTGGGGGGATGTGGGGTAGGGGAGAACTTTGTAGAGTCAGGCTGAGGGTTGGACTTGATGATCCCAAGGGGCTTTTCCAACCTGAATGATTCTGTGAAGAGCTCTGCTTTTCAAAGGTAATACAGTGGGTCCTAAACCTCCTAAAAACTGCAGTTCCTGTCAACATAGCAAGAGAAGTTCTTAATACTGACAGACTGTGTGCAGTTTAGGGTTTAAAAATGTCTTCCAGGACAGCTGTCTTGACTTGTTTTAAATGTTATAAGCTTGATTTTCATCCCTGCCCCCCAGTATGATACAATCATCAGTTTGTGAAGAAGCTGGTCTGCTTATGAACTCTGCTCTAGTGATTCAGGGATCTACTAGGCAGAGCAGCTCAGTCCGGAAGAGCGAGCAGGGGCACCTCTTCATTAAGCACTCATTAAACACCGAGAACCCCACGGTTATTTCTGTAACCATAAAAGCTGATCTGAATGTCAAAAACTCATTTGACAATGGGTTACACTTTTAACTCACTAAGTGTAATTGTCTTACCAGATCTGTAAGTAGTGCGCTAGGATTTTTAATCTTCTACTGTACTTGGATATAACTGACTAAATTTTAATTATGATGCTTAATGCATATTACAAAAGACCTTACCACTTGAAGGAAGTGGTATTAGAAGGCAGTCTCCTCCCTTTAATTTGCTGGTTTTAAGAAGTTTCATAATACTGAGTGAATGGTAAGTACTTGTGATAGTCCTATCTAGGCAAGAGTTACTATCCTAACTTAACTTGTTTCTTTCGCATTAATAAGAGTTCTGAGATCAGGCCTCTGAGCCCCTGGTGATGTGCTTAGAGTAACACCCCATGTAATGTTCTGCTTCCTTGGGAGCTCAAATTTCAAAACAGTTGTTTAAATGTCATTCTGTTTTTTGCATTTGCAGTATGTGAAATACCTGTTTTGAGGGGTCAGTGCCAAGCCTCATGTGACAAATGTGACAACTGTTGTCTCGTTTGTAGCTCTTAAATGCTTGTATCTAGCCTGTGTAATGTCTAGTTACTGCCCCGAGAAAGGCAAAGCAGTGAGTGAATGCAGTCTGCAGCCATAGCTGTCATCTGTAGAGATGACTATGAAAAGATGGGATTACAGCATACTTGAGAACCATGTTAGTAAAGCAAAATGTACTTAGCTTTTTATCTCTTGGGATCCTTCTCCACCACATTGGCTCACCCAAGGTATTTTGAAATGTCTGATAGTTGATTTGTATTAAGTGTCATGATTGTTTGAACTCAAGTCGAAAGTTGAAGCAAGTCAAAACATAATCTTGCACTTCTGTTGACTGTAGTTGAAGGGAAATTACTCCTAATATGTGTCCTTTGTAATTAGGTTGATACAGGCTCTGTCTGGGGGAGGGGAGTGAGAACAGCAGCTTAATCCTTGGAGCTGACAAATTACAGTCTGTAGTCAAATAAAAGTGACTTTCAAACTACTCACGCTGCTGATTGGAAACTTCTTTTGCAGGGTTATGGCTGATGAGCTAACCAACACCAGAGCAATTCTTCAGCGTCAAACCAGGGATGCACAAAGTGCAATCCAGGACTTGCTGAATGAACGCGATCAGTTCCGTCAAGAGATGATTGATACACAGAAGTATGGGGTTTTTTTTTCTTTTTCCTAATCCAGACTACCTCTGTGCAAACTTGATTTCTGTCAGTTTATTCTAGGCTGGAGAAGAGTCAAATAACTTCCTCCTGGTCCAGTGATACTCAATAAAAATCAGTTATGCTGATGGATAGTACAGTCACTTTTCAGTCTCAAAGCTGAAAGAGCCAAAATAGCATTAATTCTTTCTTCATACCCTGGAGGTGTGAAGTCTTAGGGGTAACATAATATAGCACTGACATCCCTCATATCCTCAGGCTTTCTCTATTTAATCACTTACTGTCTTGACTTCAAGTCTCCTCTGTCTCCTTCCAAAACGTACAGATTATTCTACCTGTGTTGATTTTTTTTTTTTTTTTTTTTTTTTTAGTGCTTATCCTGCCAGGTGTCAGATAAGTTTTACCAGTATTAAAATACTGTATTGGTGAGGCCTTGCCTTGGAAAACAGCCTGTTTGCCTCCTTGTCTTTAAACATTTTTTTTTTTCTTTTTTTTGGTTTACATTTAACTTGTGCAGTAAGTCTTGGGAGGGGACAATGCCTCTGAAGTATGCTGTGTGCTGGTAGCATAGAGTACAAAACCACTAATAGTGCCGCTTTCCTTTCTGCACAGGCTGCTGGAGGAGCTGATGGTTTCTCTTCAGTGGGGGCGACAACAGACATACTATCCTAGTGCCCAACCTTACACTACAACAGAGCTAGCAGCTGTGAATTGTAAGCTAGCCAAAGCTGTAAGCTCACATCTTCTTGGAAATGTTAGCACTAATAGTCCAAAGAAGAGTCCAACAGCTGTGGAATTTTGCAATACACCTGCTGAGAAAATGGCTGAAATGGTAAGAACTCTTCATACATCTCAATCTGTCAGCATGGAGTCTTCTTTCTGGAGAGAAACACCTGTTAACTGCTTTATATCTTGACTTTTTTAAAAAGTATATGCAGGAGAAATATGCTGAATAGAGCTGTCTGTTTCCCTCATTAAAAAAAAAATAAAAATAATCACCCCACCCCCAAAACAAAAAACCTCAAACAGAAGGAACCCCACACAAAACAAAAAAAAACCCAAACCAACCAAACAAAAAACCCTGGAAGAATAAGCAGAACATAAATAATACAATGATACACAGTTTCCTTCTCTGTTCTTAGCACCACAAGTAACTGGGTCAAAATTTGTTTAGTTACTGTGTCAGGAGGAAGCCAATTGAAAATAGGTAGTTGAGTTTAAAAACTGAGTGGGAGAAGAAAGAAATTCAGGTAGGAATAAGTCATAACACTTCAGCATTAGTTTCTGTTGCCCTAAAAACGAGTTCTGTTTAAAGTGGGTGGAAACAGAGAGAAGCTATATGATTATCTTTCAAAATAAGGTTCCACTGCAGGAAGTTTGATGTCTAGGTAGCAAATGAGACTAACAGTTTAGTCTGGAAGCAACTGAGCAGTAGTTGAGCAGAAGGAGGCTTGCAGTGATCTGTGGTGTTCTTGCCTGGTTTATCCTGAGGGTCTGGATAGGTGGATATTTGGTTTTCAACTTGGGGAAAAAAAAAAAAAAAATAGCTTTTGAGCAGAAATCCTTCCTAGCTATTACAGACGGATAAAACCTATTAAACTTAACAGATGAATTTTCAGTCTCCATTTTTCCATCCTTAGGTGCTGCGTGTACTGGATCCAGCTGCATGTACAGAAACATCAACAGAAGTTTCTTTTTCGGAGACTTCCCCATCCTCCTTCCTTTCCACAAAGAAGAATATTGGAAGGTTTCACCCATATACAAGATACGAAGATGTAACTTTCAACTGTTGCAATCACTGTCAAGGAGAGCTGATAGCCCTTTAAAACACAGCACATGCACTCTTGCTGAAGAATTACACTACTTGCTGTTCAGCAGGCTTCCCTTTTTCCTATTTCTGTCCATAATGGGTAGGTTTAACATTGGAAATGATGCAGTTTCTGCTTCTCTACACCTTGAAGTTGGGGACTGACAGGATTTCTTTCGCCTCTGGCACACTTCTACTTTTCAGTCTGGAAAGCTACTTATTTTCTTCTACAAAGGCAAGACCAAAAATATTATGCTGGTCCAGTTTGTAAAGCATAGAGATGCCCTTGAGTATTTAAGGTTTACAGTCTTACTAGGAAATCACAAAGAATTTTTCTTTAGAGGGGGACAAAAGCATACTATACCAAGGTAAATGAAGTACTGACAGGTTATCATTAAAAAAAAAGCAATTAAAAATGGTCAGCTCTGTGCTTTTTTTTTTTTGAAGTCTTAGCTAAAGTGACAAACTGTCCCCAAGTCTGTGTTCAGCCTTTTAAATTTTGTAATAAAAAGGACCATGTGCAATGATTCTTCATAGCTGTAAGTTCTGAAAGTAAGAGCCTGTGCAGTGTTGCAGCCCTTCTGGCAAGGAGAAAGAGCTTGAATGAACTCTAGCTTTAAATAGTAACTGGTTTCATATGAATTCTGGAAAACTGTGTGGGGTGAGATTGTTTCCGTGAAGCTGTAACGGCTTTACCATCTATTTCAGCTTCTGGAGGGAAGCTGTTGCAGAGCTAAGCCTCAGCAAAGACAGACTGACAGACCTTTAGTACAGAGTGTCAAAACCTGACCTAGCATTAGAACTCAGTCCTTGCCCAAGGTCTTCCTGGGTGCTACAGGAAGCTGAAGATAAGCACTAAATTTGCACAGCTACTGGTTAAAAAATATATATTTTTTTACTTATATGGTTTTATCGTCTTGATGGAGGTTCCAAGAGAACTTCCAGCAGATAATCTGCTAAACCCAAAGCAGCCTACTTAAGTTGCAAATGTAAAGAGAAAAGGTAGGAGGATGCAAACAATGCCGTTTAATTTCTTAGTCTCACTCCTAAATTTATCATCTGTAGCTGTCTAGTTTGGGGAAAGGGTTTTTGAAATGGTTGCTTTTACCCAGTTTTGCTTTTCAATCTCGTCCTTGCTGTTGCTGGCCATGCTTTGGTTTGCATGATGGAAGCTGCAATAAACTTCCTTTGCTTGCTTTGAAACTGCAGTTTTGGATTTAATATAGCTGTATTTCTGACCTTGTTTTCTCTGCAGCATAAAAGCCCTTTGCTCTGCTGGTCTGAGGTAATGAACCAAGAAGCTTTTGCAGCTTACTACAGTTAGGGAGGTAGCGTGGACCTTTGCAAACTCTCCCCCTGCACTTCCTCACTAGACACAAGAAACATTTCTTGGTGTCCAGGGGAGGGTAGAGGAAGTAGGAAGGCACCTTTTGCTTGTGTTTCTCATTAACATGTGAAATTTTCATTTCACTTCCACAACCTTTATCTATGGTGACAAAAGCTGCAATGTGGCAACCTCTGGTCAAACCCCAGTTTCTCTGAATATGCCTGTAACTATCCAAAAGGGGGAGAAATACTAATGGCACATTTGCTTTGCATCTGCTATGCTCTGTCTGTTACAGTACTTCCAGAAAACCTTTTCACTGGGGAAAAATGTAAGAACAATGGCAGATCGTGGAATCTGGTGGACACACAGCTGGACAGAATGTTCCTCATCTTCCACTTCATGATTTCATAAGTGACCTCAGCATGTTCTCTGACAAGAGTTCCCAATCTAGCTGGGTAGGATGATGTAGTTTATTATCATTAATTTAGCAAACACAGACATGTATACGAGGAATCCAGCTTCCTCAATACTAGTAAAGGTTATAATTCACACCATCTTTTAATTTCATGGAATAGAAGACTACTGACTATGACTCGCAGAAGTAAGTTTCAAAACCTTGCACATTCACACACATGTTAACCTTCAGTGATTAAAATTAGTCCTCCAGCCTAGCCAGAACTAACAGCTGGTCAACAGATCACTAGGAAGTGGTAAAAGAAATAGGATTTTCCAACAACATAACACGCTGTACAGTCTTCATCACAAGCAGCAGCAAACAGCAATATTAATCCATCAAAAATTCAACACTTTTCATAATAGCCTGCATCCAGGAATTCAGGGTGGAGCTGAGTATAAAGTGCCCTTTAAAGACAGGAATGTGTATTTGCCACACTCATACAGATCTCACGCTCGTTTAGATTTGGTCGAACCAAAAAGATCCCTGAGTTAGACATAAAAGCAGGCTTTTCAACAAAATTACAAATAAATATTAAAATCACAATCAGGTAATTGTTAAACTTGCTTGAAAGCTTTAAAAAACACCACGAAAAGTCTGTGGCTGTAAAGAGCAACAGCTCAAGCCATAAAAATTAAAGAGAGTTGCCACCAAGAACTCTGTGGTTACATCAAACTTTCAGCTATAATGGTCTGTGAAGCGAAAGGATTTTGTCTCCGAACTAATGCAGTGGATGTTCTGCATCTGTTTTGCTCTTCTGGCTTCTAATCTAAACTGCCTTGCTCTCTCTTTAGCAGCTAGTTCTTCTGCTCGCTTTTCTTCTCTCTTTCTTTTTAGCCATCTGTGGAGAGAGAAAGAGGACTAGAAGTAGTGCCTGTTGCAACTGAAAGTTTTACATCATGCATTCAAAGGAGACTTGCCCCCATTTGAGTCACCTTGTCCTGCAGGATAATGTCAAGTGTGATGGCTGAGCCAGTCTAAAATTTTGCCTGTCACTCCTAAACATAAGGAGTGCTGCTTTTCCGTCCCCGTTCTGTGGCTGCTGCACCCACCTTTACCTCCCCCCTTTCGTTGAGCTGATACAATTCACCAAAAAAAAAAAAAAAAATCATTTTACTGGATTATACCTTTCTGCTTGTTTAATGAGCTGAATCAACCCAAGCCTGCTCCAGAATGGGCAAAAAGGGATAGGAGAGAAGGATCTCCCTTTTTGAGCAGAAGTAATTCACTATTTCAGCTGAGGTTCTGACAAGTAATTTCACAACAGTGAACAAACAGCATCGAGGAATTGATGAATTTTTGCTAGGGTGTAAGTTTATGAGGGCATATTCATGCAAAAAAACCTCCAAAACAGTAAAGGCTTCAGCAGTGAAGATGTACCATATAATACCTACAGTCTTAAACTGGCAGACTACAAAATTTTCAAATTTTGTTCCCTAGGAATGACCCTACTCACTCTTTAAAGGCTCTGTTGCATTCCTCTGTTCTTGGAAAAAAGGCAATTCCTTCAGCTTGGCGTCTCAAAATTTCTATCTGTTTTTCTTTCATGTGTTCTTGGTGCTTTTTTTTAAGCCATAACTTGAAGGCTTCTTCTGGATTCCTGTTCCTCTCCTATTTAAAAATAATTAAAAAAAGAATATATATACACACAAGGCTTAACATTGAATGACCTTTATATTAATCATGTTATAATTATTTTTGGAACTGTGCTGGCATCTCCCATCCACAAAACATACCTCATAAGTAAACTACATCATATGCTAATCTGGCGTGGAATATATACATGGGAGAGCATTCAAAGTGGTATGTTCTAAAAAATACTGAATTTAGCTTTCCAAGCCCATTGCTGCAAGAACTTTAGAACAGAGCCTCTGCATCTTCAGGTTTTGGTCAGGTCACGTGCAGTAACTGCTTGCCAACAAGTTCTGATGGTAAGGGATACACTTCAAGGGGTTTTTCTGGCTGCTTGTTCACTGCAGGGTTCAATCAAGTTGTTCTCATAAAAAGGGGCATCACTGCATCTCCTGTGACCTTACATCTATTAAGTTCATACATGCAGCTTCTATGGCACAAGCCACCCTGCCAAGCAGAACCATCTTAAATACGCAAGTCAACCTAGCTCCTCGCCGAAAACAATGCAACAAAACCATTTCCTATCACCATAAATTTTCGTATGCTTAGCTAAGAACAGAGGCTTAAAATGTGGTTTTCCTATTTAACAAACACTGTAGATCCCAGTCCTACATTAGCGAGATCTTACTTTGCTGTTTAAGTCTTCCAGCTCCTTTGCACGACGAATTCGCTTTTCTTCTTGCACTTGTTCTTTCTTCTTCTGTAACCAAGCTTTAAAAACCATCTCGTTCTCTCTTCTCTTCTGTTCTTCCTGTTCCCTTTTCCTTTCTTCTTCCTTAAATGGAATGGAGTGAATAAACTTAGCTTTTACGAGAATTATTTTTATCTTCAAAGGCCTTCATAGACAATGTCATTTGAATTATATGAGACACACAAAAATACTGATGAAACAGGAATACTCAATGACTGCATCACAGTTGATACTACTTTTAGGAAGAAATGTGTTTGAGCACTTCTGCAGTTCATGGGTACTTTCAGTCTAACCCTTTTTGTAATTACCTCCAATTTCCATGATGAGAGATCTCAACTCACGTATCTCAACTCTCAGACATTTCAATAGCAACAGGTGAAGACTTTTAAAATCAAGCCTGCCTAGGAGCTCTGACTGGCTTAAAATCAGTTTAAACTGTTGCACTTTTAAAATGAATGCAGCTCCCAAGCTTGACAGACTGCTGAACCCTAAAGGATATTTTAGCTACCTAAGGACTGCAGGCACTACCTTAAAAATAAGGGTTTTTTTTTTCTGGACATGAAGTTGTAATGTATTTACTTCAGGAGTATTAATAGCATAACACTTTTTTCAAGTTTACAAAATTATCTGATTTTTCACAAAATTGAGAAAGGTTTTTCTTAGTTATTAATCACTTTTTAGCTAATGACAAGTATCAACAAAGAAGAGAAAGGTTTTCAAACACTGCTTCAGAAAGCTGATTGAGATATTTTATGAGGTTTTGACTTTCCCTGACACACAAACTACAGTCCCTACTCATTTCAACACTCGGAGAAATCTATTCTTGCAAATAGACGATGTTCCTCCCACCTACACACAACTTGCAGACTATCCTCCAAATTAACAATTTGTCATTTACCGAAATGGAAGAAACCCTGCCCAAATGAAGCAGATGGATTCCAGTAATGTTTCATGCCTGTGGAATCCATCACAGAATGGAAGAACTCCATTCAGGAATGAAGAAGTAAGGTAATACATCCTTACCTTTTCATAAGTCAGCCAACAGAGGAAGAGATTTAGCACACACTGTTAGGAAAATAACCTCCACCACACTACATTTTACTTTAAATACGCAGAGCATGCTGTCGAGCGATCTAGTCTTGTGTGTACAAAGAAAACACATCAGTAACTCTTGACCTTTCCTACCCCTCACTACAGAGCTGTGCCTCAGAAACTTCAAATAAAGCAGGCTAGACCTATTTCTACAGATAGAAAGTGACCTTTTAAGCTACTTAGCCAGCTTACTTAGAACATCATGACACAGAAAAATGGTAGATGCTTCGTGATCCTTTTGTAGAGCAACATACATAGTAAGTTACCTTTCTGTAATTGTATTATCATAATGCAAAGCAAAGAAAAACATCTAAGCTTTTAAAATCTTTGGTAAAGATTTCTGCAGCTCCTGTTACTGCTGTCAGAGGCTGACTCTATTAAATATTATTTTCTTCTGAAAAGTAGCTGAGAAAGAATTAAAAAGTGGGTTTTTTCCCCCAGTCATACGTAAGATACTGATTTGACTTTCTAAATGATAAATATTTTTTTCTTCTAAATTACTGCCCTTTATAAATACAAGAAGAATAAACTCAGTACTGGGAATATTTTCTTTTTTTCACCTGCATGCATCTTACACAAGCAACAAGGCATCCCACTTTTGAAGTCAGCTGTATCTTCCATACACCTCTCCCTGTTCACAGTTCTCAGTCATTCTCCTGTGTAAATCTTACTTTATGACTGAACACTCTCCCAGATGCTTAACTGCCTGTTACACACTTGGTGAGCACCCAAACGTGCACCTGCACTACTGTGGTTAACTTCCTGCACTGCAGTGTAACCTGGGGAGCTGCGATACCGTGTGCTAACGTTCCAGTAAACAGTGGGCCTGTAATGGAAACTGGGTAGAGAGAGAGTCAATAAGCAAAAGCAGTAAGCACAATACAGCAGAAAGCCTATTTATGAAGAACATATTAAATAAATACTTATTTCTCCTGTGAGCATGGCTTGATCCTATGCCATTCTGTGGGGTTTTTTTTCTTTTAAGGAAAAGAGTTTTGAGAGATTCTGTACAATCTCCAGATAATTACTATTATTGTTATTGCTGCTTCTTTTATAATGGAAAAATGGAGTAAATGCCCTGCCCATGTGGTCTCTGTGAAGCAGAGGAGCAGGATGGTCACTGTGATCTACTCATTGTCTCTGTATTTTTACCTCTTTCCTCAGTTTTTCCTTCCTTTGTTCTAACTGCTTCCGCAATTCTTTTTGTCTGGGAGAAAGACAGTAAGTAGAGCTTCTCACAGGCACGTTTGCAGACTGTGCCCTCTGCGGAACCTTCCGTTTCCCCAGAGCTCTTGCAGTATTGACAGCAGAATTCGGACGACGCTTTGGGTTAGACGGAGGCTTAGGGAAATACACATGCTCTTCTCCACCAGGAGAAAAAGAACGTGCTCCTGGTCTTACTGGAGGTACCTCCTTCATTCGAGAGACAGTGCCAAAAGCACCGTAGTGTGAAGATTTTGCAGACATCTGTTGAGTTTCAATATCAGTAAAAGAAACACTTATCGGGGGCAAAAAGCCCTGGCTTTCAATATCACGTAAACTTAAGAGTTCAAACTTCCCATCTTTTTCCACTAGGATTTTACCATCCTTGTTTTCCTCATCCTTGCCAGCACGTGGCAGAAGTGATGTGCTTTCCTGCCCCATTTCATTAGAAATATGCAACTGAGATAGCCTGTTTGAAACATCGTCTCCTCTTGCAAGGTCAGTTTTACAAATTTCAGCATCTTCTAGAGGAGGAACTTCAAGATCCACCAATTTATCCTTAAATTTTAATTTCCGTTCTCTGTTTTGATCCACAGGAGCCTGATTCTCCAGCAGTTTGTTGGCTTCTTCAATCTTTTCCAAGATGTAACGCTTTATTTCTTCATCTTCCTCCTCATCCAGTTCCTGCTGGTTTTCCAGCTTGGATTCCTGGATAGAGCTTTCACTGTCAGTATCAGATACATGGTCCCCCTGTTTAATATCAGACCTGGATTCCAAACTTTCTTCATTGGTGGGTCTCACTTTCACATCTCTATCTGCTTCTGAAAGCTGATCTGGATTTTCTTCCATTTCCTCATGGTCTTCCTCAAAGTTGTCCGCAACTTTAAAAATCTGTGCTTTGATACCCTCTTCATCTTTTTCAGGATTCTAGAAAAAATAAAATAAGCTAGTCTATTCTCTCAACAAAGAACAGTATCAAAGAAAGAGAAAAGAAATAGCAAGAGAGAAGAGCAGTACCAACTACCCCAATTCTAAAACAGGCACAAATAGTGCATCTCATAACTAAAAGATTTTTTGGCACTAACAACTCTCTGGCAGTTTCTCCATGTTCACATCTGCACAAGGTTTAACTAACCATGGCTTGTGCAGTAGTGACCAGTGACAGCATAAAACCACAACCACATGTATTGAACAAACACTTAAAGGGACCCAGAAGCACTTTTGAAACAAACATTATTTTCAGTGAACACTGAATTTTCTGTTTTAAGGTAATTATAACCAAACTAACCAGCTTGCTGAATTGGTTTTTGTTATAATTCCAAATAACCTTCCTTGTCAAAATTCAGTGAATGGACCTACGTGTTTCAAACCATATTGAATTTTGTGCTTGTGATTCCAAATATTACTCAATTTTGTCCTTTAAGTAAGACAACCAGCATTTAATTTAACAAATACCTCTCCTTCACCAAGGTTTTCTTTTTCTTCTTCATTAATTAGCCATTCGAGGTCTTTTTCAAAATCATCCTCATATTCTGCACTTTCTGTTAAATCACCCATATCTGCTGGATCTCCTTGGTCTTCCTTTTCACTCATTTTGGTGATGTGTTAAAGTAATACTACAAAAAGGAGAGGGAAAGAAATTGTTTTAAAATTCTGGTGACACACAAGTACAGCACATTGATCTCTCTTATGGCACACACATCCAACTTGTTAGCAGCATCAATACAACCATGTTAGACAGGGCTACAGCACCTCAGGACTAAGGATCACCAATGGTTTCTAAACATGAATGGACTTGGCTTTCCAGCTCTGACTATGAGGGGAAGATATGAGTCAAAGCAAACCAAGGTGATTTACTCGATGTTTTGCAGCAAGTCTCTGACAGAGCTAAAACTGTTCGCCTCCTGCTTGGGGAAAGAGACCACTATTTTATGTTTGTGAGAAGTCCTGTGAGCTTTCATTCCTCCCAGGTGTGTATTAGATTGTTGGTTTGTATCTGCCCACCCCATTTTCCTTTAAAGAAATCTTGTTTCAAGTTACGTTGCAAAAACGCAGGATGCACAAGTCCTAGAAGAACCCTACCACGGCTTACAGTAGATTAAATTGCCAAAAAGCTTCTCATAATGACATACTAAAATGAGAAGACCTTCATTGATTGGACTCTTGACAGCAACCTTCTGCTGCAGTGCCCTAACATTTACAAAGCTCTCGCTTTCAAACAATATCGCCTCCACTGCTATTAGGGGTAGAGAAAGCTACACAGACACCAGTTGAGACTGCTGGAGAAAGGATTCTGTCCCCATTTGAACTTCTGAGGAGGACAACAATGGGAAATACTCAACAGCCAATTAATCAGGCTGCATATAGTCATATGCGTGACAAAACTGAAGATAAGTCACCCTAAGGATTGAATCTTTTTAACAGTCTTTGGACTGCCTGCCCACCAGTGCTTGGGGCTCCAGGCTGACTGCCTGCCACCCCTCACCCCAGCTCTCTCCACAGGAGACGTCTGTTTCCACCTAAAGACACAAACGGGTTAAAGACACGTGGAGACACATCAGCCTAGAGAGCTGATTCTGCTCTTTTTACAGCTTTAGCCACTCATCATTGCCTCCCTAATCCATCTATTACTGTTTACAAAATGAACAGAAAAGATGGAAATACTGATTATTCAAAGGTTCCTAATCTCTTTGTACCCTCTGCTGGAAGCTGCCACTTCAAAGCATCTCTCTAGTAGGACAAATCTGTGTCACTTACAACACACTAAAAGATCATGATATGAGCATTAGCATATGGCAACACAATAAGGGATGTAAGAGTTACCTCTGACCCCAGAGGGCCCCAGAACAGCAAGGCAGCTCTTGCTGTGTGACCATCCTGCCCTTCCAGACAATAAAGGCTGCACTTGGACTTCCCAATCTAAGCATTTTGCAGTGCATTGTGTAAAACCTTTCCATCCAGAAGATGTTGCTTAAATTCCTTCAAGCTTTTGCTTTAAGTTCTGACGAGTATCTCTGTGTTGTCAGTTATTTATTCTCAGGAACACCAGCTCCACTTCTTAAAACTCTGCATTTCATGCTTGACAAAAGTGCTGGGTTTTTAGGCCTCAAAATTTAGTCAAGATTTATTTAAGAGTTAAGAAATAAAGAGAAATAATAATGAAGAAGGTAATAAAGCCGGTCACTTTTGTTGCAAGCTTGTTTGTAAGAAACTTTGTCAAAGCTCTTCGCTTGATTCATATTTTGTTCAAGAAAATCTGGCATTTTCTTTTTCTCCTAATTCACTTTTTAGCCACCAATTGCCACAAGAATCACTCATTCGAGCTAGATTTCTTTGGGTTTAAATTTTCAAAGCTCGTTCAGAGCCTTATCTTGGCTTTTCACACCATGTCTATCATGTTTTTCCTGCACTTCTGATACCACATGTAGTCATTTTTGCTGGGAAATGCCCCTTCCTTCATAAATATCCTTGGTTTGGGTGGTGATATGTACCCAGGTTGTTAATGGAGATTACTTTGCTTTAGTACATATTCAGCACAAGAGAACGATTTCTCTTTAACTTCAGCATTATGGTAAGTGGATGCAAAAAAATACAAAGCCAAATTGTGCCTTTAACAAAACACATTCATATCAGTCCGTGACACACAACACAATTACTGAAAGCTTCAATTTATTTAGGATACGTATAATAAAGGGGAGCAGCATAAAAAACAGCCTCTTCTGTTGTAACCTGAAGTAGTCATGGCTGGAGAGGTGATTTCAGTTTAACGACCTTCTTTCAGAAAATACTGAATTAGCTCCTATTCTATTCGGGGTCTTATGAAGTAGAGATTTAAGTGCTTCAGCTTTAACCGGGACCAGAATTCTTTAGAAAACCTCAAGTCTTCATTTTCACCTGCTTCTATTCTAACGGGGCGTGGATGCGGTGACTGAATTGTTCCGCAAAGCTTAGTAACGCCTCTACGTGGATATATTCAGGCACAGGCACAACAAAGAGAGGGATCCAGCGATGGATTTTGGTTATTTTGTCCTTTTGTACCTAAACACACATCTCTAGGGGTTCATACACCCGAGGGCCCCACAGTTACGGTGGGGCAGGCGCAGCCCCGGAGGCGGGAACCGGCAGCCCCCGGCTCCGCATGTCAAAGCAGACAGCTCCTGCCGCCGGAGCACGGCAGACGGCACCCCGGGGGCCCCTCCCGTCGGGTGCAGCGCTCCGCGCCCCGACCGCCG